TACTAACTATACCGACTCAACTATAATACTTTTAGAGTACTTTTTCCATGCTTAAATACATTGAGTACTTTGTTTTTAAGCATTTCATATAAACATCTGCTATGATACCATCAATATCATTAATACATTATGCGTGTCATTCTGAATAAAGCCCATAATGTATAACGCTATATTGATTATATAGCATATTGACTACTGCATACCAGCACCTTCACATCTTCCTACTTATTTTATATTGTTCATTTTTTTTTCTTGTTTTTGCATCCAGTAAGGAAGCTGCAATTTAAATTAACAATACATGCACAATGACAAAAAAATCCATATAGAACATTTGGTAACACTTTCTATGAATGTCACATTTGTAAGCATCTATAAACACATTTATAACATGTTATAATGTATTCATAAGGCATTATAAACATGGTTATAAATATTTATAAAAAATAATTACACTGAATTACACTTTATAGCCACGTTTATTATACATTATGAATTGTTAATATAATGCATAATAAATAGTGTTAATAACATGTTATAATGTCAGTGCCAAAGAAGTCAGTCCCAGCTTGGAGAGTGTAAAGTAAAGACAAATACCAAGCTAACGGTGGTGTACATTGACTTTCCCACATTGTGTAAAACACTGATGGCAGCACTAGTTTAACCTCTGACATTTGAAGCCTGTAATGAGCTTTACTGTGAATGTTTTAGTGTTTCAGTAAATTCTTCAGTAAATACTTCAACTTGAAGCCTCACTCTTAACACTGGAGGAGGCTTTAGTACAGTACGCTTCACTTTACTTAGAGCGGACAAATACAACTTATGAGCTCTTATAATATTTATGATCAGTACTTATGTATTATGTTCACAATTCATAAAGCATAATAAACATGGCTATAACGTATAATGCATTTTTATAAATATTTATAGCTATGTTTATAATGTCTTATGAATGCATTATAACATGTTATGAATGTGTTTATAGATGCTTACAAAGGTGACATTCATAGAAAGTGTTGCCAAACATTTTCTACTTTTACTTGACTAACACTAATATTTAAAGATAAACGTTCTGGCAATATTTTTTTCTCAACTTTTCATCATCTGTATACACTGGTGTATGTATTTGAACATTTTAAGGCTAATTGTTAAAACATATATAGTTTACAAAGTATAGTATTTTATCTCATTACTGCAAAACATTAACAGCCATTGAGATTTTTCTGTTTACTTGTGGCACATAATAGTTGGTTGTTTGGTTCACTTTCCTACAGTTTACAAGTGAAATGTTAAAGTAGATTCAACAGTATATTACATATATACATTTACATATATATTAGAGTGATAAGAATTATGCCCCAGGATTTGTTCATATTGGTCTAAAGGGATGAAGTTTTAGTTGTTCATTGGATAAACATCTAGAAATACCCAATACAATGTTTTTGTCTCATTTTTATTTCACATTTATTCATATTCAGTTTTTCTTATTCAAAAAGAACGTTATACTCAGTAGATATAACAGACTAAACCAAGTTATTGTCTTACATCTTCTATTCCTTTTATTCCTATTAACTTCATTATGTTTTTATTTATTTGATCTGTTATTTATTAACTTACTATATTGTTGCAATTTAATGGTTTCTTGATTTATTTTACTACTATATTTACTAATTTGATTATTATTACTTTTTTGCTATCCAATATTTCAATCCCTGTTTCTGTATCGACTCGGCTACATTGTAAATAAGTGTCTCCCTCAATGTACTCAGAGTTTAAAGGTGATTGATTGATTGATTGATTGATTGATTGAGTGATCGATTGATCACTCTTGCCCATTTCTATGTATGTGTTATAATTGCTTATTAATGCCTTTTAAAGGTGTTTATAACCTAATTAGTAATGACTAACAAACATACTTCTTGAAAGAATGTATGAATGGTTTAAAATGATTAGAAACAGACTTTTTGGCCACATGGGTTGATTAATTTGAGAACGTTATTCAGATTTGTCCTCATGTCAGCTCGGTTAAACATACAGATAAAAGGAAAACAAAGAATTTTATGCACAATTGCAGGCAAAAGTTTGAACACTGCCAGCAAAATTATAACCTTTGTCATTTTTTAGGTGAAATCACATTCTGTACAGAGAATACATGTAAAGTGGCATTTTTCTGCAAATTTTTGTGTACATATTGAGTTTAACATATTGAGAAAAAAAAACGATATATAAAACATTCAGTAAATAAACAGTAATTGTGTATGAAAGTGTGCAGAAATCTGTTTCTCTGCATACTTTGGCCCCCTTTACCCTGTTCTTAAATGTTCAGGACCCCCACAGGACCAACACTGAGCACTATTGAGAGACAACAGCTGTCAACAGCAGTCATCCTCTGGTGTTTCATCAGTGGCCGGTTTCTGACCACAGGACACTCTTCGCTGGATATTTTTTGGTTGGTGGACTATTCTCTGGCCAGAAATGACACCACTGTGTCAGTGTCACTGCAGTGCTAAGAATGGTCCACCATCTAAATAGTACCTGCTCTGTGGTGGTCCTGTGGGGGTGCTGGTCATTGATGACAAAATTAAAGGGGGGATAACAAATTATGCAGAGAAACAAATGGCCTACAGTCTGTAATTGATTTAGAATCATTTTGATTCACATGTCACACATACAAGGAGTTTGTCTTGGTGAGTGCACACATGTATGACATGTAACACACTGAATAGACCAGACAAGCACGCACAACATAAAATAAAAATACGATAAACTGAACACAAAAAGGGAAAATAAAGAGCTGATGTGAAGAGATGTGTGAATAACTGTATGTATACCGATATAAGTATCTATACTATGCAGGTCAAAAGAGACAAAATAGATAATTTTACATAGTTATGTTATAACTATTATATGCAGTATATTATAGAATGATATGAACATGAAAATTTACATTTGCAGAGTTGAGCAAATAACCATTATGTTATACTGTAAAAAAGTGAGTTGGTTTGTTGGTATTAAGTGTGAGGTGTCCACTGTGGTTAATGAGCTCTACAGCTCTGGGGAAGAGTCTGAAAGAGAGTCTCCTGAAAAGAATGAAAACTAAATACTAAAAGATTTGACATGTTGTTTGGGCTTTGGTGTATTTTTCAGTTAAATGTGTGTTTATGCTTTTTTTCTTGATGCCTAAAAATGAATATCTTGTACTTAATGGCTGTTTTGATGGCCCTAAATCCAACCAGCATCCAATAAGCTGACCCACCCCTTACTTAATGCTAATGCATCCGATCCAGCCAATCAGGGATTAGGGAACAGGCTGATTAGCTGTGGCAAACTGAGGTTGTAACTAGTCTTTAATGGAAGGTAGCTCTTTAGGACCAGGGTTGGAGACTACTGCTGTATATGGTAAGTGGATCTGATCAAATGGACAATGAGAGTAGGCACCTAAAAGTACCAGTACACAAATGCAACCCCATTTCCAAAAACATTACGGCACTGTGCAAATTGTAAATAAAAACAAAATGTAATGATGTGCAAACCATCTAAATCCTACATTCTATTACATATCAAACGTCGAAACTGAGAAATTTTATTGTTTTTTTTAAATATATTTGCCCATTTTAAATTTGACGCCAGCAACACATTCCAAAAAAAGTTGGGATGGGGCAACAAAAGGCTGGTAAAGTTGTGCAATGCTAAAAAACAAAAAAAAGAGACATGATCTTGAAGTGGAAATCACTGCATGGGCTCAGAAACACTTCTGAAAACCACTGTCTGTGAAAACAGTTTGTCGCTGCATCCACAAATGCAAGTTAAAACTCTAAAACGCAAAGAAGAAACCATATATAAACAGGTTCCAGAAATGCTGCCACCTTCTCTGGGCCCGAGCTCGTTTAAAATGGACTAAGAGCAAGTAGAAAAGTGTCCTGTGGTCCAACAAATCAACATTTAAAATTCTTTTTGAAAATCATGGACACAGCATCCTCCGAGCTAAAGACCACTCAGCTTGTTATCAGTGCACAGTTCAAAAGCCAGTATTCATGATGGTATAGGGGTGCATTAGTGCACAAGGCATAGGTGGCATGCACATCTATGAAGGCATCATTAATGCTGAACGCTATTACATGTTTTGGCAACATATGCTGCCATCCAGACGACGTCTTTTTCAGGGAAGGCCTTGATTATTTCAGCAAGACAATGTCAAACCACATTCTGCATATATTACAACAGCATTGTTCTGTATTAAAAGAGTCTGGGTGCTAAACTGACCTGCCTGCAGTCCAGACCTGTCACCACTGAAAACATTCGGCGCATTATGAAATGAAAAATACAACAAATGCACCCCCGAACTATTCAGCAGCTGAAATCCTATATCACACAAACATGTCACTTTCAAAACTACAGCAGTGTCTGCTCAGTTCCCAAATGCTTACAGAGTGTAGTTAAAAGAAGAGGTGATGAAACACAGTGGTGAACATGCCCCCGTCCCAACTTTTTGGGAACATGTTGTTGGCATTAAATTCTAAACGGGCAAAAAACAATAAAATTTCTCAGTTTCAACATTTGATATGTTGTCTTTGTAGTATTTTCTCTTTAAAAATATGGTTTACATAATTTGCATATCATTGCATCTATTTGTATTTACATTCTGCACAGCGCCCAACATTTTTGGAAATGGGGTTGTATAATAAACCCTAAGCTGTGTAAAAGAAAGATCCAGAAATAACCATGTATGTACAGGTAAATAATTAAAAGGTCACTGATGAGCCTAGCCTACTCCAGAAGGTAGATCTCCATATGATTTTGTTTCAATAGCAGTTTTGTTCCTTAGTCTACCCCTCTCCATCTCTCTTTCTCTCTCTCTCACCTCTTTTTCATATAGCTCAAGTACCCTCCGCTCAATCATTTCTGCTTTTATCTGCAGTCTGTGTCCTCCTCCCTGAGTGCTGGTGGAATACAGAGCCTCACATTTTCTGGCTCATACATCCAGTGGATTTTTGCTCACTCACCCTCCTCCTCCTGTGATGTAGCTGTATCCTCCCTGACCAAGGCCGTAACCATAGCGCTCCCCCAAACACACCGGCTCCCTGGGGTCATAACAGCTGAGCAGAGCTTGTAGTCTGGGCAGACTGGGGACAGAGGGTTTCTGCAATGTTTTTCTGGTCATTTTGCATATATATATATATATATATATATGCACAGTGACTAGCTTTGTTGATAAATTTTAGCATTTACATTCAATCATGTGTGTCCAAACTTCTAAATGATACCAAACATAGAGTAGCATATAAGTAAAAACACATTAAGTTCAGTGAAAATGTCAAAAAATAAATAAATAAAAATGTGTATTTCTTTGAAACAAATATCCATTTTATTAAACTGTAAAATAGTTAAAGTGTTGTAGGGCTGTAAATCCACTTTGGAGCATGCAGTGGCTGGTGCTAGAAAACTTAAAATTTTAATTAAAATATTGTAGCGCTGAGATAAAAGATATGCAACCATTATTCTACAAAGTATTAATCCCAATCAGTGGAATAATTTGATGGACTACCATAAACACTAGGACTGAACCTGCCTTGCAGTTTGAATGAAATCGACAACAATGACCAGGATCACTTCGACTTGACAAAATATTTGAATAGATATGTGTACATTACACACATGCATGCGACTGTGATCTTTTTATATTCGGACAGTAATAATTTCTCCTAGCACTTAGACAGTAGTGTTGCATTGTACAGCCTTGGACACTGTAACTAGAGAGAAACAGATACAAGACAAAAAAGACGGATTGAAAAATGTGCTTTAGAGGCAACATCCAGCCTTACCTTATAAGTGTGTCATCATCTACAATAAGTAACCAGTCAGTCTTTGGTACAGCACTGCTCACATATCTGCTGAGGATGGCAAAGGTTTTCCCACAGTGGCCTGCAAAAAGAAACACAAACTTTTATTAGCAGTGGAACTATATGGTCATAGTCACCTGCACCTGATGTGAGGACACATGTGACCTCTCCTCAAGGTCTGCCCAGGCCTGATTATTAATGCCTGCACCTGCCTGAAACAACCACTACTCATGTCCGCTTGTGCCAGCAAAATCTAGTATTATTTTCGCCTACTCCTGCCCGCAAGACCAAGCACTATTTTTGCCTGCACCCTCCCGCTTCAACCACATGTCTTGGCCACCCTCACTCGCCTATGCTTTGGGCTATACCTGTGGTCCTCGTCCACTCCAACCTGTGTCAGCTGTAATTCACTGTACTCCACTGGTCTAGGATGTGTCCATGCAAACCTTGGGAGCTCAAACATGGCACCACACAAAAAATAAACAAATGAAGTGAAGCTGCATGGCTTTGCTACTAACATTAATTTTATCTGACAGCAATATACAGGGTAATTCAAAACGATTCATCCGATTTCAAAGCGCCATATTTTTACAACTGTGAGGCGCGTAGGAACCAATCACATACCAATTGAAAGAGGGGGGTCATAGAGTTTCTGACTGTCACCAGAAGATGGCTCCCTTCAGTCTGAGAGGAGATGAGACCCCTGAGCAGAAGGCGTTTTGCGTTCTCCACTTCAATAAGAGTGAATCCGTTGTACTTGTGCGGCGTGATTTTCGTCAGCAGTGAAGCTCCAACAGCTCAGAGCGTTCGCCGCTTGTTCCACAACACTGGATGATCTCTGAAATCGCACTGAAAGAGCCGTGAGTGCAGCGACACCCGACATGCTCAATCGAGTGTGGGATGAATTTGACTATGGCGTTGATGTTGTCCGAACAGCTGGAGGAGGTTCATATTGAGCACTTATAAAATTCCATAATAAACTTTATGCTCAATTAAACCATTTACAATTTACTGCACTGTTCTGTAATGATTTACAAGTGAAATAAATCATTTTGAAATTGGATGAATCTTTTTGAATCACCCTGCATAATTAGCTAATTACTCTATAAGATGCTACAAGGCAGTCAGATTTAAATTAAAGCCAAAATAGACACTGGCATGCCACGACACACGTTAAAAGGCCAAAGGGATTTCCTCCGAAAAGAATTCGAGTTTGTGCAAAATTTATGTACTGGAAAAATTATAGCTTCATATTTTTGGCAGCTTTGATATACACTAACTTGTTTTTCTTTGCAGCTTATCTGCTGCTTGCCTGTCTGCTTCTACAAGCATCTGATAAATGTTGAAGCCTGCCCCACTCAGCCAGCCATAACACCCCCACCGTCCACCACCTCCAAAACGAGCTCGCACCCTGTTGGCTATTTGCCCAAAATAAATCCTGCTTGCAAATGACATGGGACCTGCAGGTGAACCTGCCTTGTGCAGACCTCTACACTGAATTACCTTGTACTCCTATCTTTCTCATTTTCTTCACACAGATGCCGTGCTCTCCTAGTTTGTCTCTGAAGCACTTTTCTTTATTTTCCCTCCATCCTGTCACTCAATTAAGGATCATATTTTTCAAGATGGCTGTGTTAGTTATGGACCATCGTCGAGGCTGTGATATTTCTTTTTTGGAAACAGACAGTAGGTGTGTGAGTCACGATAGCAAATTTACAAACTCATGAATAAACAGCAGAGCAGAACTGAGGTACACAACGTACCCACAGTTGGGCATCTATGAAGAGAAAATAAATAATAAAATGATAAACATTCTCCTTTTCTTCTTAAGAATATGGTACTAAAAGCCTACAGATAAGGAACAGAAGGCTTGAGCTGGCAAAAGAATTCATGAGAACAGTAGAAAAAAAATGCTCTTGGGAAACAGCTTGTGCTGGCAAACTGAGCACAATGCATTGGGGATAAGATGAGAGAGCAGCAATGAAGACTGAATCAATGTGTGAGAGTGTGAGAGTGTGTTGACAAAACACTTTTCATTAAAAAAAAGATATATGTACAACTCCATTTCCAAAAAAGTGGAGACGCTGTGCAGAATGTAAATAAAAACGAAATGCAATGATGTGCAAATCATTTAAACCCTATATTTTAGTGAAAATGGTAAAGACAACAAATCAAATGTTGAAACTGAGAAATTTTATTGTTTTTCGAAAAATATGTGCCCATTTTGAATTTGATGCCAACAACAGATTCCAAAAAAGTTGGGATGAGGGCATGTTTACCACTGTGTTTCATCACCCCTTCTTTTAACAACACTAAGAGTTTGGGAGCTGAAGAGACACTGCTGTAGTTTTAAAAGTGAAATGTTCTCCCATTCCCGCTTAACATAGGATTTCGGCTGCTCATCAGTTTGGGTCTGCTTTTCCAGGCTGAGAACCTCATCACATCTACCTTTTCTGCTTTGAGGCCTGAACTGCTAGTTAGTTGTGGTTGTGCTGTCATGAGCAGAACAAATGAGTGACTGGTCGCTTCTGATTGCTCTAACTCCTCTACAGACTGTTCACAAGCTCTGTGTTATAAGGTTAAAATTCAGCGTTCACAACTTACAATGGTTAGTAAAAGTATAAGCTATAATCAAAACTGCAGCTCTACTGATTTGAAATTTGCATTCTTTCAAATTGTGATTTTGATATTACAAATCATTAATCTTTAAGCCTTACTGTTCAAGCTTCACCATTAATGAACTGCTATTCAAAGAGCTCATCATCATCATCATCAGCCTAAAAGCTTGTATTTCCATAATAATATCAATTTTACTTACAGGAGAAGGCAAAACATTCTTAACCGTTGTGTGGTGTTGGAGTCTGTGGGACCCATTTTCAATGTTTACAAAAAGAAAAAATGATAAGATTTATTATTATTATTATTATTATTATTATTATTATTATTATTTCAACCTCATTCCTTGGTCTTTGCTCATTTTCTGTGAAGAACATATAAAATAACACATTTTCAGTGACTTCACTCTGTTTTCCTCCTACATGGTCTGCTCTTAGTGTGTGTGCGTGTCTGTGTGCATATGTGTTTGTATATATATATACATATGTGTGTGTGTGCGTGTGTGTGTGTGTGTGTGTGTGTCTGAGGGTGGACAACACGGACAGGCTGCTGACTGGCTACAGCTGCTAAAAGAGAACTCTACGCTGGCCACTGGTAATGGCTGTATTGATTTAAAAAAACAATAAATGAGGTGGGTCCACCAGACCACTGAGTAACAAACACATCAACACCACACAAGGGTTAACTTTTAATGGAAATTAATGCAAAGAAACTGTTGCAGGAAACTCTGGACCATTTCTTCTGGTCCATTCAACATAAAATTTTCACACAGTGTAAAGCGCAGGTGTTGTATTATTGTAAGAAAAAGAAATTGCAGTTTTCTCCTTCCATTAATGAGTTATTAGGAGTAGATTAAACAGCAGAAATACTGATTTTTTTTTTTTTGCATAGACACTGAAGGGTTAAAATCCATCTTTTACATTAATAAACATTCACAACACAAAGTAAAGGGCAGTCGACATTTTCAAAATCAAAACATTTTACGTGACAGAGATGACGCTCTTGTGACTATTCCATATTGTAGTGATTACCAGTGAACATCTACATACAGTGTATCTGTTAGCTCCTTTGTAACCCTGCTACTTTGTGTAGGCTGTGATCAGAGGAGATGCTCACAGCTTAATTGAAAGCAGGCGTCTCAGTCCCGACAATGATAAAGAATTACTGAAGTTATGAATAAACATGGGAGGGGAAGAGAGGTACAGCGTGTACTCCACGCCTTCTGCAACATCAAAGAAACTCCGGAGAGACGGGAATCGATGCCAGCGCAGCGCGTGTAACACCGGGCTACGGTTTTTGTGTTGCTATGCCGACACTTAAAAGGGCACTGAAAAATCAGTCGCTCTGTCCTTTCACTGCTGACTAAAGGCCACAGAGCTGGGAGCCTGTCACTTGCAGAGTGCTGAGCATGTCAGCTTAACTGTTCATGAGCTGCTGAGGCACCAAGGCTGCCAACGAGAAACATCACTTATGGAGCAGGAGAAGATCTGCTGAGATGACTGACACATGCTGATGCCTCTATAACTCAAGCTGAAGTGCAAATGACACTTTCTGTAACCACTATATGGCTTATTTTTCAAACCTGTTTGAAAATGATCCTCGGAAAAATAATCTATTTACATTCTGTACTGACAGATTTGAGTCTGAACTTTTGCCAGGGCTCAGAAAACGAAGCAAAAAAACAAATTTGCTCACTCACAGAACCAATATTTCATGTTAGAACTGCATGCAAAAGCTTGGACACTCCTGTTAAAATGACGTTTTGTTGATTAAATAAGTTAACATATCCTCTGTAGAGAACACATCATTTCCTACTAATTTTAGTGCTAATAAAAAAATAAATCAATCAAATAAAGGGTGCCATAACTTTTGCACAGGCCACAATTTTTATTTTTTTCTCAATACGTTAATAATTCAGCAAATAAACAGTAATCGTGCATTAAATTTGTGCAAAAATGCAGAAATTTGTTCTCCCTAGAAGATTTTCCACTAAACATATCATTTGACCAGGGGTGCCCAAACTTTTGCATAGGACTGTTACATAACAACTGATTCATGTTTCTTTTACATTACACTGTATATGTGCTTAACTTCTCAAACTCCACTGAACAGCCGGTGGTTTTAGACATGAAATCCTCACTTCTATAACTTAAGAATACAGAGTCAAGTTTGCATTGTTTTACATGTAATAACTGAGTAATAACCCTTTGAGTGTAAAAGGTTAATATAGATAAACAGTAGATTTACAAAATAATTACAGTCACAGACTATAATTGTATGAGAGACTGTTTGGATAGCATGGATGGTACAACGCTGTATCTATGCTATTGTGACAATCAACAAAAAAACAGGCCTTACCTGTCTTACATACAATCCTATGCACAAGTGTGGCCCCTGGTGAAATTATGGCCATATTTTGTTGCTTTTCTAAGTGAAAATAAGTTTACACATCCTCTACAGGGAACA